AACAAGACCAGGACTAGACCAGAACTAGACCAGAAGACCAGAGACCAGAAGACCAGACAAGACCAGAACAAGACCAGAACTAGACCAGAACAAGACCAGAACTAGACCAGACCAACTAGACCAAGACCAAAGACCAGAGACCAGAACTAGACCAGACCAAGACCAGACAAGACCAGGACAAGACCAAAACAAGACCAGAACAAGACCAGACCAAGACCAGAACTAGACCAGAACAAGACCAGAACAAGACCAAGACCAACAGACCAGAGACCAGAACAAGACCAGAACAAGACCAGAACTAAGACCAGAACAAGACCAGAACAAGACCAGAACTAGACCAGAACAAGACCAGAACAAGACCAGAGACAAGACCAGACTAGACCAGAACAAGACCAGAACAAGACCAGAACTAGACCAGAACTAGACCAGACCAAGACCAGAACAAGACCAGGACAAGACCAGACCAAGACCAGACCAAGACCAGAACAGACCAGAACAAGACCAGAACAAGACCAGAACAAGACCAGAACAAGACCAGGACAAGACCAGGACCGAGCTGAAAGTACTAATACCACAACAAAAATACTCAAGGAAAAGTAAAAGTATCACACAAAGTAAAAGTATTAAAGTACCTGTTTAAAAAAGTACTGCAAGAGTAAAAAGTAAAAGTATTTTACACAGATTTTGAGATCGATTTTGATACAGATCTGATTCTAAACCAGGACTAAACCAGGACTAAACCAGGACTAAAAGGACTAAACCAGGACTAAACCAGGACTAAAGCAGGACTAAACCAGGTCTAAACCAGGACTAAACCAGGTCTAAAACCAGGACTAAACCAGGACTTAAACCAGGACTAAACCAGGTCTAAAACCAGGACTAAACCAGGATTAAACCAGGACTAAACCAGGACTAAAACCAGGTCTAAACCAGGACTAAACCAGGACTAAACCAGGATTAAACCAGGACTAAACTGGGTCTAAACCAGGTCTAAACCAGGACTAAACCAGGACTAAACCAGGTCTAAACCAGGACTAAACCAGGACTAAACCAGGTCTAAACCAGGTCTAAACCAGGATTAAACCAGGACTAAACCAGGTCTAAACCAGGTCTAAACCAGGATTAAACCAGGACTAAACCAGGTCTAAACCAGGACTAAACCAGGACTAAACCAGGACTAAACAGGACTAAACCAGGTCTAAACCAGGACTAAACCAGGTCTAAACCAGGACTAAACCAGGTCTAAACCAGGTCTAAACCAGGTCTAAACCAGGACTAAACCAGGACTAAACCAGGACTAAACCAGGACTAAACCAGGTCTAAAACCAGGTCTAAACCAGACTAAACCAGGACTAAACCAGGTCTAAACCAGGTCTAAACCAGGACTAAACCAGGACTAAACCAGGTCTAAACCAGGACTAAAACCAGGTCTAAACCAGGTCTAAACCAGGTCTAAACCAGGACTAAACCAGGACTAAAACCAGGTCTAAACCAGGACTAAAACCAGGTCTAAACCAGGTCTAAACCAGGACTAAACCAGGTCTAAACCAGGACTCGTCGGTTCATAAATAAAAAGTCCAAACGTTCTTATCTTTGTGTTTTCTAAAACCGGATCAGGCCCAAACTGAAGCTGGAGGAAACACGCTCGAAATAAATCCACATAAATAAAGTTCTGAACCGAGTTTGGAACAGATTTCGGACTGAACCACAAACCGTGAGAAAGTTTACAGAAGTGAAGAGAGCGAGACCCGAGAACGAGACCCGAGTCCGGACCAATCACAGAACCACTGCACTGTAAAAAATACACCCGAAAAATACATCCAAGCACAAAAAGACGAATTTTTTACTTTTTACTCTTGAAATACATTTTTAAACGAGTACTTTAATACTTTTTTCATATGATACTTGTACTTGAGTATTTTTTGTTCCGCTATCTGTACTTTTACTTAACAAAACTGAGTACTACTTTTTCCGTCATGTGTCTGAAAAATCTGTGCGAAATACTTTTACTTTTTACTCTTGAAGTACATTTTTAAACAAGTACTTTAATACTTTCACTTCAGTTGGTTTTTCATGTGATACTTTTACTTTTACTTGAGTATTTTTTGTTCCGCTATCTGTACTTTTACTTAACAAAATTGAGTACTACTTTTTCCATCATGTGTCTAAAAATCTTTATGAAATACTTTTACTTTTTAGTCTTAAAGTACATTTTAAATACTTTTACTTTAATAGATTTTTTCATGTGATACTTTTACTTTTGTTGTAGTTTTTAGTATTTTTGTCCAGACATTTGCACTTTTACTCAACAAAACTGAGTACTTCTTCATTCACGTGTCTAAAAACATCTGCGTGAAATACTTTTACTTTTTACTCTTGAAGTACATTTTTAAATTGGTACTTTAATACTTTTTTCATATGATACTTGTACTTGTACTTGAGTATTTTTTGTTCCACTATCTGTACTTTTACTTAACAAAACTGGTACTACTTTTTCCGTCATGTGTCTGAAAAATCTGTGCGAAATACTTTTACTTTTTACTCTTGAAATACATTTTTAAGAGTACTTTAATACTTTTTTCATATGATACTTGTACTTGAGTATTTTTTGTTCCACTATCTGTACTTTTACTTAACAAAACTGAGTACTACTTCTTTCCGTCACGTGTCTGAAAAATCTGCACGAAATACTTTTACTTTTTTACTCTTGAAGTACATTTTTAAATTGGTACTTTAATACTTTTTTAAATGATACTTTTACTTGTACTTGAGTATTTTTTGTTCCACTATCTGTACTTTTACTTAACAAAATTTGGTACTACTTTTTCCGTCATGTGTCTGAAAAATCTGTGCGAAATACTTTTACTTTTTACTCTTGAAATACATTTTTAAACGAGTACTTTAATACTTTTTTCATATGATACTTGTACTTGAGTATTTTTTGTTCCGATATCTGTACTTTTACTTAACAAAACTGAGTACTACTTCTTTCGTCACGTGTCTATAAAATCTGCACGAAATACTTTTACTTTTTACTCTTGAAGTACATTTTTAAATTGGTACTTTAATACTTTTTTCATATGATACTTTTACTTGTACTTGAGTATTTTTTGTTCCACTATCTGTACTTTTACTTAACAAAACTGGGTACTACTTTTTCCGTCATGTGTCTGAAAAATCTGCACGAAATACTTTTACTTTTTACTCTTGAAGTACATTTTTAAACAAGTACTTTAATACTTTTACTTCAGTTGGTTTTTCATGTGATACTTTTACTTTTACTTGAGTATTTTTTGTTCTGCTATCTGTACTTTTACTTAACGAAATTGAGTACTACTTTTTCCATCATGTGTCTAAAAAGTCTTTATGAAATACTTTTACTTTTTACTCTTGAAGTACATTTTTAAATTAGTACTTTAATACTTTTACTTCAGTTGGTTTTTCATGTGATACTTTTACTTTTACTTGAGTATTTTTTGTTCCGCTATCTGTACTTTTACTTAACGAAATTGAGTACTACTTTTTCCATCATGTGTCTAAAAAGTCTTTATGAAATACTTTTACTTTTTACTCTTGAAGTACATTTTTAAAGGAGTACTTTAATACTTTTACTTGAGTATTTTTTGTTCTACTGTCTGTACTTTTACTTAACAAAACTGAGTTCTACTTCTTTCATCACGTGTTTGAAAAATCACAAATTACTTTTACTTTTTACTCTTGAAGTACATTTTTAAATTGGTACTTTAATACTTTTTTAAATGATACTTTTACTTTAGTATTTTTTGTTTTGTATCTGTACTTTTACTTAACAAAACTGAGTACTACTTCTTCCATCACGTGTCTCAAAACTAAAAGTACAGATAGCAGAACAAAAAATACTCAAGTAAAAGTAACAACTACTTTTTATTGTGTTTTTTAAGTTGTATTTGCAGTTTATTTTTTTATTTTTATGTCGTGTTAAGTTTTAAGAGTAAAGTTTTTGGTTTTTAGTAGTACTCAAGTTTGTTAAGTAAAAGTACAGATAATGGAAAAAAAAACTCAAGTAAAAGTATCACATGAAAAAATCTACTGAAGTAAAAGTATTAAAGTACCCATTTAAAGACGTACTTCAAGAGTAAAAAGTAAAAGTATTTCGTGGAGATTTTTTAGACACGTGACGGAAGAAGTAGTACTCAGGTTTCTTAAGTAAAAGTACAGATATCGGAACAAAAAATACTCAAGTAAAAGTAACAACTACTTTTATCATGTTTTTAAGTTGTATTTTTTTATGTTGTGGTAAGTTTTAAAAGTAATTTTTAGTTTTTAGACACGTGATGGAAGGAGTAGAACTCAAGTTTGTTAAGTAAAAGTACAGATATTGGAACAAGAAATACTCAAGTAAAAGTATGAAAATATCTACTGAAGTAAAAGTATTAAAGTACTTGTTTCAAGATGTACTTTAAGAGTAAAAAGTAAAAGTATTTTGCACCGATTTGTTTAGACACGTGATGGAAGAAGAAGTACTCAGTTTTGTTGAGTAAAAGTACAGATATTGGAACAAAAAATACTCAAGTAAAAGTATCATATGAAAAATCTACTGAAGTAAAAGTATTAAAAATGTACTTCTAGAGTAAAATAGTAAAAGTATTTCGTGCAGATTTTTTAAACTGAATAAAGGGTCAAACGCTGAATTTTGTGATGTATATTTTAGTTAGTTAATTCATTAATTTTAAGTTAATTAAGTTTATTTTCAAAAATTAAAACCTCAGCTTTTTCAGCAGATCACAAACTCGACTATAATAAAATAAAAACACTTTTATTTTTCAGTTTTGTTAAAAAATTTAGTGGAGTAAAAAGTACAAGTCATTTTCACTTATCAATATTGTGTTTTTTTTGCAGTGTTCCTCGTCTCTGATTGGTCCGTGGTGCTGTCAGTCATGATCCTCGGGGGCGGGGTCAGGAGGGGGACTGACCGAGACTCTGCTCCGGTCCTTTTTACGCACACAAACCGGACAGTCCGCGAAGAGGCACGCACTCCTCACGCGTTCGCTCCGGCGCGATCCACCGCCTCCACCGCACAAAGTTTACAACAACCGAAGGAAGAAGAAAGAAAGAAAAAGAAAAAGAAAACAAAAAGAAAAGTCGAGGAGACAGTGGAACAAAGTGACCGCTCGGGCCGCATCCATGTCGCTCCCCGGCTCTCCAGCGCTCCTCTCCCCGGGCTCCGGCGCTTCCAACCCGGCTGCAGCTGCTGCGCTCTACCACCACCCGCAGCACTGTTCCTCCTCCAACACCAACACCACCACCACCACCACGTCCTCCTCTTCTTCTTCCTCTTCTTCTTCTTCTTCTTCTGCCTCGAGTTTGGCCGCCGCCGTCACCTCCAGCCCGACGCCGACCAACGCCAACAACTCGTCCGGGTCTCCGCGCGTCACCGGCGGCATGCTGGCCACGTTCCTCCCGGGCCACGGCGCGCCGCTCTCGGCTCTGGGCAGCAACGGCGCCGCTCTGGCCGGTTCCGCGGGGGCTCTGAGCGCGCTGAGCGGCTTCGGCGCGCTGACCCCCGGCTCCCCCGCGGGTCTCCTCCACCACCACCACCACCAGCAGCAGCACCACCCGCACCACCAGGCTCCCCCGCCGCCGCCCCCGCCGCAGTCCGGGCTGTGCAGCGAGTGTAAACTGGTGGAGGTGCACGGCGTGAAGGTGGCGAGTTTCAGCGTGGACGGACAGGAGCTCATCTGCCTGCCGCAAGTGTTCGATCTGTTCCTGAAGCACCTGGTGGGCGGGCTGCACACGGTCTACACGAAGCTCAAGCGCCTGGACATCACCCCCGTGGTGTGCACCGTGGAGCAGGTGCGCGTGCTGCGGGGGCTCGGCGCGATCCAGCCCGGAGTGAACCGCTGCAAACTCATCTCCCGCAAGGACTTCGAGACGCTGTACCAGGACTGCACCAGCGCCAGGTAAACGCGCGGCTTTACGCACGGGGAAAGAAAACGTGCTTTATCGCGTTTTTGAAGTTGTACATGCACGTTTTTTTTTTTTTTTTTTTTAACGCTGGGTTAAGTTTTGGAAGTGAATGCAGTTTTTAGGCACGTGGTGGAAGAAGAAGTACTCAGTTTTGTTGGAGTAAAAGTGCAAATGTCGGAACAAAAATACTAAAAACTACAACAAAAGTAAAAGTATCACATGAAAAAATCTACTCAAGTAAAAGTATTAGAAATGTACTTCAAGAGTAAAAAGTAAAAGTATTTCAGGCCGATTTTTTTTTAGATACGTGAATGAAGAAGTACTCAGTTTTGTTGAGTAAAAGTGCAAATGTCGGGACAAAAATACTAAAAACTACAACAAAAGTTAAAAGTATCACATGAAAAAATCTATTAAAGTAAAAGTATTCGAAATGTACTTCAAGAGTAAAAAAGTAAAAGTATTTCAGGCAGATTTTTTAGACGCGTGATGGAAAAAGAAGTACTCAGTTTTGTTAAGTAAAAGTACAGATACTGGAACAAAAACTACTTAAGTAAAAGTATTAAATGTTCTTCAAGAGTAAAAAGTAAAAGTATTTTGTGCAGATTTTTTAGACGTGGTGGAAGAAGAAGTACTCAGTTTTGTTAAGTAAATGTACAGGTATCAGAGCAAAAAATACACAAGTAAAAGTAAAAGTATCATATGAAAAATCGACTGAAGTAAAAGTATTAAACATACTTCAAGAGTAAAAAGTAAAAGTATTTCATGCAAGTTTTTTTAGACACATAATGGAAGAAGTAGAACTCAAGTTTGTTAAGTAAAAGTACAAATATTGGAACAAAAATAAAAGAATCGTATAAAAAAATCTACTCAAGTAAAAGTATTAAAGTACTTGTTTAAAAATGTACTTCAAGAGTAAAAAGTGAAAGTATTTCATGCAGGCGTTTTACACAGGTGATGTAAGAAGGTAGTACTCAGTATTGTTAAGTAAATGTGCAAATATCAGTACAAAAATACTACTTAAGTAAAAGTATCATATGAAAAAAATCTATTAAAGTAAAAGTATTAGAGTATTCGTATAAAAATGTACTTCAAGAGTAAAAAGTAAAAGTATTTTGTGAAGATTTTTAGACACATGATGAAAGAACAAGTACTCAAATTTTGTTAAGTAAAAGTGCAAATATCCGAATAAAATCTACTTAAGTAAAAGTGTCATGTTATGAAAATTCTACTGAAGTAAAAGTATTAAAGTACTCGTTTAAAAATGTACGTCTAGAGTAAAAAGTAAAAGTATTTCATGCAGGTTTTTTAGACACGTGATAGAAGAAGTAGTACTCAATTTTGTGAAGTAAAAGTACAAATATCCGAACAAAATCTACTTAAGTAAAAGTATTTGAAACGTACTTCAAGAGTAAAAAGTAAAAGTATGTTATTTATTTTTTAACAGTTTATAAATGTTGCTCGTATAAACACACGTGATTATAAAATGTGATGAATTTGTGATTTCTTGAGGCCACGTTCGGAGGGAAATTACTTTGTTTTACAGTTTACCCACTTAAAACTGTACTTCAAGAGTAAAAAGTAAAAGTATTTTCATTTTATTTAACCTTTAACAGCCTATAAATGTCACTTCTGTCGTCACATGTGATCATAAAATGTGATTAATTTGTGATTTTTAGTCTTAAATCCCATGAGATGGTTTTACTGTTTACAGAAAATACTCAAGTAAAAGTAAAAGTATCAAATGAAAATCTACATGAGAAAAAGTATTAAAGTACTCGTTTAAAAATGTACTTCAGGAGTAAAAAGTAAAAGTATTTCATGCAGGATTTGAGCTGGAATAAAGCGTCAAATGTTATGATTTTGATGCAGGTTTGTGATGAATTTTGTTGTTGAACTAAAAACAACAGAATGCAAATATTTTTCCAGCTGTTTCTTTCTTTTTTTATTTTGTATATTTTTATTTGCTCGAATTACAAACGTGTTAAAATAAACGTTTTCAGCAGCACGTCTCAAAAACGTCCTGTCCTGTTCACAAATGTAGTACAGTAGAAAGTACAGGACTAAACCAGGACTAAACCAGGACTAAACCAGGACTAAACCAGGACTAAACCAGGACTAAACCAGGACTAAACCAGGACTAAAATGCTGTAAAAAAGCGTTAATAAATCAAAAGTTTGTTGTATTTTTGATTCAAACGTTGAGTGGAATTTGCTGAGATGAGAAAAGTAAAGCGATGAAGTTGCACGTCTCAAACTAGAATAAAAATACTTTTACTTTTCAATATTTCCTGTAAAATGTACTCGAGTAAATACAGGTACTTCAAATGTATACTTATTTACAGCACTTTACTGCTTTTACTTCATAACGTTTCATGGTGTTTTACTCTACGGAGGCACAAACTCTGCACATTTAAATCGTTTTATTTTGTCACTTTTATGTGATTAAACAATGTGATTATTATGTGATTCTTATAATCACTTAAATCACATGCAAGGCCATGTTTAGAAAGAAATACAATGCTTTTTTTTCTGTTTACATTTCATTTTAATCACTTCATTATTATTTTTTAACAGCCCATAAATGTCACTTTTACAATCACATGTGACTATAAAATGTGATTAACATGTGATTCTTATAATCACTTAAATCACATGAACGGCCACGTTCAGAGAGAAATTAGATGTTTTTTTTCTTTGTCTGTTTACATTTAATTAGAATCATGTTATTTAATTGATTTAAATTTTTTTTTTAGCAGTCTATAAATGTCATTTGTATACTCACATGTGATTATAAAATGTGATTAATGTGTGATTTTTAGTCATTTATAATCACATGAGAGGCCATGTTCAAAGAGAAATGTGCGTTGTTTTTTTTTTTTCTGTTTACATTTAATTTTAATCATTTTATTTATTTATTTATTAATGGCCTTTAAATGTCACATTGTATAATCACATGTGTTTATACAATGTGATTAATTGGTGATTCTTCTAATGAGTTAAATCACATAAAAGGCCATGTTCAGAAAGAAATTAGGTGTGTTTTTTTTTTTTTTTTTTACTGTTTACATTTCATTTGAATCATTTTATTTAATATACATATTTAACAGCTTGTAAATGTCACTTGTATAATCACATGTGATTATACATTGTGATTATCATGTGATTTCTAGTCCGATAATGACTTAAATCACATGAGAAATGTGATGTTTTTACAGTTAACATTTCATTTTTATCATTTTATTTACTTATTTTTTAATAGTTTATAAATGTCACTTCTATAATCACGTATTATCATAAAATGTGATTAAAATGTGATTTCTCATCTTTTATAATGACTTAAATCACATGAGCGGACAGTAGATCTTTTTACAGTTAACATTTCATTTTAATAATTTTATATATTTTTTAACACCCTATAAATATCACCTTTATAATCACATTATTATACAATGTGATAAAAATGTGATTTTTCTAATGACTTAAATCACATGAGAGGTCGTGCTCAGAAAGAAATGTGATGGGTGTTTTTTGTTGTTTACATTTCATTTGAATGACTGTTTATTTATTTATTTATTATTTTTAATAGCTTATAAATATCACTTCTATAATCACATGTTCATATAAAATGTGATTAATGTGATTTTTAGTCTTATAAATAATAACTTAAATCACATGAGAGGTCGTGCTCAGAGAGAAATGTGATGTTTTTTTTCTTTTTACATTTCATTTGAATCACTTTATTAATTATTTTTTATTAATTATTTTTTAACACCTTATAAATATCACTTTTTATAATCACATGTGATTATAAAATGTGATTAACGTGTGATTTTTAGTCTTTTATAATCACTTAAATCACACGAGGCTCCGTGTTCAGAGAGAAATGTGATGTTTTTGCTGTTTATATTTAATTTTTTATACATTTTTAGCCACAAATCTGTAATATTGGACAGATTTTGAGCGCGTGGAGTGTGGAGGTAAAAGCCACCGTCGCTTTTTCTTCTCTCTCGTGTCTGTTCACTCCCAGCTCCCACGGATCCAAAACGCAGCACCAACACTTTAAACACACAGATACACGTGTACAGTTTGGACAATATACTTGATTTTTTACGTGCTTTTTTTTTTACACTGTGACTTGTAAAATGTTAAAATGACGCTGTGGGGCCACCGTCGTCTCGTGTGTGAACGGAAAACACGATGAAAGCAGCAAAACTCGGAGAATAATCTATAAAAAACACAGATACGACGGACACTTCCTGTTGTAAACGCAGGTCCTTCTCCCGTTTATTCAAATCACCCTGAGCGGTTTTATTGATCAAACACGTTACATTTACATAGATTAAAGTACTTGAGTATAAATTTGAGGTATCTGTACTTTACTTGAGTACATTTTACAGTGTTTTTTTTACTTTTATTAGTATTACTGTGAGTTGTGTCGTTTTTAAATTTATCGTCTCAGAAAATTCCACTCGATGTTTGAGTCAAAAATACAAGAGAATTTAGATTTATGAACCAATTTTACTACTGCTTATTTTGTCATATTCAGACAATGTTTGATATTTAATACTAGACCTGGTTTAGTCCTGTTTTAGTCTTGCTTTAGTCTTGCTTTAGTCCTGGCCTAGTCCTGGCCTAGTTGTAGTTTAGTCCTGGTTTAGTCCTGGTTTAATCCTGGTTCATTCTTGTTTTAGTCCTGGTGTAGTTCTGGTTTAGTCTTGTTTTAGTCCTGGTTTAGTCCTGGTTTAGTCTTGTTTTAGTCCTGGTTTAGTCCTGGTTTAGTCTTGGTTTTTAGTCCTGGTTTAGTCCTGGTTTAGTCCTGGTTTAGTCCTGGTTTAATCCTGGTTTAATTCTGGTTTAGTCTTGTTTTAGTCCTGGTTTAGTCCTGGTTTAGTCTTGTTTTAGTCCTGGTTTAATCCTGGTTTAGTCTTGTTTTAGTCCTGGTTTAGTCTTGTTTAGTCCTGGTTTAGTCCTGGTTTAGTCTTGTTTTAGTCCTG